CATATGAGCATTTTTACAGTAGAACATCTGGGAGGAAGGCGAGAGGAAGACCAAGCCACCCAAGAAGTGCAAGAAAAATACAGAAAATCTTGACACTGGGCTACATCCTGATATCAATGAGACAACAGAATAAAAATAACACTAAAAGTAAAAATATCAGTAGTACTAGTAATAATAGTAACAGTAATAATGTGAAAAGCAATAAATTCAAAACAAAAGCTTGATATAATTTTACATGCAAAAACAAGTACAGTACTTTAATACATAATTTCTATGTATGGTTACTGTTGGGGGGGGGGGGGGGGGGGGGGAGGAGGAGCCGATGTGGTGTAGAGGCTAGACGCTCGCCTGCAGATCGGAAGGTCCTGGGTTCGGGTCCTGGTGGAACCGGGTTTTCTTCAAAAATGACCTCGGCTCCCAGGTCGACCCAGCCTTGAGTGCGTACCAGGTGCAGTCCTGGGAAGTTAAGGCGGCCGGCGGGATGTTGACCACATCACCCATCAAATGCCGATTTGTCTATAAACTACAGGTCTAGCACTAAATGCCCAATATGCCTGACGGCGTGAAAAAGTGTCCTTTAGTTTATTTACTTATGGTTTTAGCACCCTTGCAAAATTTTTTTGGGAATGTAGGCAGCGCTTAGTCCTCCCTTCGGGGTTGGGGGGGGGGGGGTGGAGACATTCAAGGGCCTTAGCCTGCCGCCACCCAGTGATTTGCCTAGAATATGCGCCTCCCTCCCTCACGTCGCGTCCCCATATTTTGTACCTAGAAATTGTTTTACGGCCTGGGGGGCGGGAGCACTGAAGTTGGGGTGGGGGGGGGTGTGGGGGGGGGGTGGGTGAAGTGCTCACTGTTTTAAGGCGTACCTGATTAAAACATAAATTTATAAATTGCACAGTTTATTTCCTGCAAAATTTCTCTGAATATTGTTAGATGTATTACAACAGAGATTACATCAACATACAATGATCACAACATGAAGCAAAAGTTATGAATCCTTATCAATCAAATACACAAAATCACATCGTTCCTTGGTACTTTGTACATCATACCACCTTACTCCCTGGTGAAGAATGGGGTGAAACATGTGGTTTTTGACTTGGGCCGGTGGAAACATAGTACACTAGAGGTTCAGGGTATACAGACTGATAATGGGTACACAACCTGGAAAATAGTGAATGATTACGCCGCGGTTTACGCTCTTGTCATAAAGAAACATTGGGACTGGATCAAAGAGTTGGAGGAAATCCCTGATAATAGGCTTCTCATTTGCGAGAATTTCAATGGGCGGAACAGATCATGGGACTGTACTGGGCAAAACAGACAAGGAAATGTTTTAGCAGAGGCTAAGATGGATGCAGACGTAGTCTGTATAAACGATGGTAGGCCAACTAGATTTGCTACGAGACCTGGTGATGCAGATACGGTAACTGATTTGGCGTTTGTTACCCAGTCGGCAGTGCTGGACACAAAATGGAGTGTCCTGTGCAATCATGGAAGTGACCATATGCCATGTTTAGTCTTGATATCTAAAGCTAGCAAGGTCAGGGCGGTGAGAACGCGCAAGTGTGAGAGGGCCAGTACCCTTCTTGGACGCCTTCGACAGAAAGGTATGCAGCAGAACTACCACCTCTGCTTTTGTGCAGCCTCCATGGTGGACCCCAGAAGTATAACAGGCATGGAGAGCAAAGCGAGCACTCACAGGTTACAAGAAGACGCAGAGAAGCTAAAAAAAAAAAAGTTAGAAAAGAAAAAGTTGAGAGTTAAAGTGTTGTGCAGCAGAGGCAAAGAAGGTTAAATGGAAACATAGTTATGAGAGAAATTGGAGGGGACAAATCACTTGGGAGGTTTTGGAAACGGTAGAGACAGATGCAAAGGAACTATCAGAACATGGCTTATTTACACTGAAAATGGTATGCCAATGACAACAGAGACAGAAAAAGGGAAAGCATTTTTGAAGAGATTTATAGCCCAACCTGATCATAATGATAGGGAGCTTAGAAATTCAGTTAGAGATAATCTGTCTAATACTATAAATGATAATTATTTTCAGGATATCATTAGGGTGGATGATATAAAACACATATTGCAAAAAGCAAAAGACACTGTGCCGTGGCCAGACAGGGTGAGGTATACCCACACGAAGACATGAGTGATGAAGACTTGAGGGAGATGGCATTTCACTTCCACCAGAGCATCAGAACAGCGTCAGAACCCCAGGACTGGGTACACAGCTACCTGACCCCCCCCCCCCCCCCCTTCCAAAACCAAGCAAAAATCATTCAAGACTCAGCGGTTTCAGGATTATCACCCTACAGAATACTTTTGGCAAGGTGCTAAAGAAGATTATTCTATTATACTACAAAGGTTTTAGGAAAGGACAGAGCTTCTGCCAAAAGGTTTGGGTAGTTACCGGCCACGGAAAGATAAATGGTCTAGTGCAGCTTCTGTTGCTTTTGATGTTTATGAAGGGTTCCAGAACAGACAGGAAACAGTTGTGGCAGCACTTGATCTTGAAGATACCTACAATAGAGTCAGATATGATATTTTGATATCTGCAATCATGGAGAAGGAGGTTTGTCCCTGGCTTCTGAAATGGATGGCAGCTGCCCTGCATTCACGGAAGGTTGCCCTTCACCTGGGTACATGGACCTCAGAACCATATAATCGCCCAGGGACTACCCCAGGGTTCTGCAATCTCGCCGGTGCTCTTTAATGTGTATACAAGCAAGATTGCAGAACTTGGAGTTTCAGATTGGACTGCAGGTAACTGTAACCGTCTCGTGGCACCCTAATATAGCTGTGCTCCACCGCTATACGATTGAGTTTCCAGAATGTTTACCTGTTTTTATCATCCTTGAAGCAAGAATTGCACAAGCCAAAAAGCACACACCTCCCAGTCAGTACTGTACCTTTGTGTTCCTGGCGTGAAGTTTCAGATACGCCAAGAGAAGAATGTTCGCCAACAAACTCGCCATCAATGGCAAAAAGGCGAACAGAAACTTGGTGGCTGATGAGGCTGCCTCGAAACTGTCAGCGTGTCTTTTATACAAGGAACTATACTCAAGTCTGAACAATATAAATTAGAGGCAAACTGGTCAGAGTTGAAGTTATACTTTGTCACTGTCTAACTTCCGTAAATAATAATGTAAAAAAAAAAAACATTAACACATAATAAAAATAATAATAATAATAATAATAATAATAATAATAATAATAATAATAATAATAATAATAAGAAGAAGAAGAAGAAGAAGAAGAAGCAGAAGAAGAAAAGAAGAAGAAAAAGAAGAAGTAGCAGCAGCAGAAAAAGAAGCAGCAGCAGCAGAAAAAGAAAAAGAAGAAGAAAAAGAAGAAGAAGAAGAAGAAGAAGAAGAAGAAGAAGAAGAAGAAGAAGAAGAAGAAGAAGAAGAAGAAGAAGAAGAAGAAGAAGAAGAAGAAGAAGAAGAAGAAGAAGAAGAAGAAGAAGAAGAAGAACAAGAACAAGAACAAGAACAAGAAGAACAAGAAGAACAAGAAGAACAAAAAGAAAAAGAAGAAGAACAAGAAGCAGCAGCAGCAGCAGAAGAAGAAGAAGAAGAAGAAGAAGAAGAAGAAGAAGAAGAAGAAGAAGAAGAAGAAGAAGAAGAAGAAGAAGAAGAAGAAGAAGAAGAAGAAGAAGAAGGAGAAGAAGAAGACGAAGAAGAAGAAGAAGAAAAAGAAGAAGAAGCAGAAGCAGTCCGACTTATCTTTACTAGAAATTTACTCACCTGAAAGCGTCTGCACTTCGGCGTACAATGTTGTAACAAACTGGCACGTAGGCATGCGCCCCAAACGTAACCACGACAACAACCACTATAATTACAACATTGATGCTGTTCCTGAATTTTCTCCGTGCTAGAAAGGGCATGGTTATCACAGTGAACCTTTGACCCGACATCAGCATATTAAGTAGATAAACTAGATTTGAGAGAGGAAAAAAAAAACACGAAACCATCATTAATTTTTTACGTACAAGACAACGTGCAATACATGAACGGATTACTACATAATGTCAAGGGATAAGGATACTTATCAGAGAGCTGCTTTTTGTGGATGCTGTGACAGCTACCACCTACTAAGAAGGAGAAACTGCAATGTTTACAATCTACATTTTCGAATGCATCTTGTGAATTAATTTGTTTACACTATTAGCCATTTTTTTTTTTAGGTTTAAAACAATACGAACATTTGAAATATTGATGTACAATTTGTAAAAGCATACAAAAAACATCGGGCGTGGTACCAAACTCAAGAGGTTTGCACGACAGTGGTCAGATAGTAGCAATATTGTACGAGAATACCAAGTTCGACAGCCCTGTAACAAGCCTATGATCATCATCATCATCCTCGTCAACTTTTGACATCCAGCATCGGAGGGGAAAACAGTTTGTTGTCTAACGATCGACGAATGGCACTGGTTGGAATATGTCGTTAGGGGAAGTAAGTCATTTAAGGTAAGGCCACCACAGTTAACATAAAGTGAATAACTTCCCTTCAAGCGGACCTGACTGACTGACTGACTGACTGACTGACTGACTGACTGACTTTTCAACCCACCAGGACATCACACAAGCGATAAACACCCGATGACACAATGTGCCACCATATGGGTGAGGATCACCGTGGAGAGGTCCCAGAAACCGCGTTCAGCCTTTAGGTCATATTTATGACCAGGCTATATTGCGGCCCCTGGCAAAAGCCAGAGTAGGGCTTTAAATTACAAAAATGTTTATCCTAAAAAGGACGAAAATTATATATAATCAAGCGGACCATCCTATAAATGTATGAACGTTTCTTTGAACGTTGATTTATTTTGGTTTCATAAGAAAACATTGGCAGTTGGAAAGTGAAAAGAGAAGCCTAACAGCGCTGCGTGGCCAAATTTTTGAGTTAAAAATCTACCCAAGTATCTCAGGATCTTCGCCGGTGCTACGGAGTTTGTGTACTGGGTCGAGATTCGTCGGACTCAAGCTTGAGTTAGAAATAGAAAGGAGCACATATGAGTTTTTTTTTTTTTTTTTTTTAATGTCAAGAAAATTGTGCACAAACATTAGAATCCTTTCTCTACATTGTTACCCATGACTAAGGGGTTGGGTGGTGGTTGGAAAAGGGGGGGGGGGGGGTAGTAAGTTAAGGAATTTGTCTTCTAATTGTTTTAATCCATGATAAATACTGATCGATTCGTTCGGCTACATGCATCAATGAGAGTCCTCCCCGCCACCCAAATACATATATGGAGAGGGAAGGGGTGACAAAAATGTTCCGCACCGGATACCTCCTGACCTTGCTACGCAACTGCCCCCCCCCCCCCCACCACCACCACCCGCTTTTTTTTTCTCTGGAGCTTCCAGGTCACAGGCTGCATTAAAATTCTCAACAAAACATTACTGTGAACTTACCAATTCGCCTACAGACTGCTCCAGCATACATGTTCATGTACTGGGTATAGAAGAGGTAGATCTCTGTTGTTGTTCCCAGGGAGAAACTCATGGCGTATCCAACTGTCCAGAAAGATGAACGTGGTTTATAAGTTGTTGATAGTTTCATGGCAAAAACGGTTCAGCTGTAGAGGGTCCATAGTACCACCTCTATCAGCAAACTAGCACCCGGATACAAGAACTAACTGATCAATGCTCATGGATTGCCTTGCTGCTTCAGGACAGGAAGAAACCTCTGTAACGGGCTCTTCTGTTTACTTCACATATTAAAGGTAAAGGTAAAGTCGGGAGATGTGAACCAGCGTCATTGCACACGGTTATAACCCATAAGTGCTCTGCCACCAGTACGGACAGCTGATATGAACTGTCCGCCTGTGTCGCCGTTCGCACGTAACTCTGTAGCTACAGCGAGGTTCCTCCATTTACCCTTTGAGCGTCAACTCTGGTACCCATTTCCTAGAGGCTGGGTGAACCCCTGGAACCGCCCGGTTTCGAACACCGACCGTGGCTGCAGCTAGTCGCAGCTGGATTTGAAAGCGAGCTTCTTATCGACTGCGCTAACGCGGCCCTTTCACATATTGTTCTTTATAGTATTTCCGAAATGTCTGCTGTCCATTTTCTGCGTGATGACCTCTGGTTGTGTTACGGCTGTATCTGTATAACATTGCTCTCTGTAGTGCCCTATCTGATGCCAGTCTTGTTACATGGCCAATCACTTGATCTGTTGTCTATCGATACAGTTTAGTACTGGTTCTGTGCCGACTCTCCTCCGGATAGTGTCGTTCCTAAGTCTGCCTTTCTTTGTTACACCTAACATACTACGTAAACACTTCATTTTATCTCATGCTCTTTTATCAGTTATAGCAGTCAACTAGAACATTAATCACAGAACAATCACGTCAATTAAAGCAATCATTTAGCACACATATTAAAGAATAATTGAATCAGTTACACAAGTCAGCTTGTAAATTCTTAGGGAAAAGATCAAAACAGCAGTCAAGGAAAACGTATCCTAGTGAGAAGCGCAAAAGGAGACACAAAGCACCATACAGCATCCATTCCTGGATACATCAAAGCTTCATGGCCAGATCACAAACCAAGAAAGTGAAATAAAAACCGTCCGAGAAGACCAAAGAAACAAGGGACAGTTGCACAGATACGCAAGGAGATGGAGGAGATAACAGAAATCCTGAAGACCACACTAGAAGTTCAAATTCAAATAGCTAAAGCGGTGGCTTCGTTGGAAGATATTAAATCAAAAATAGTGGCTCTACTTAATGACTAAGAATTTACGAGACCAACAAAGGATATACACGTTGACAAGACCAGTCGTTTTTTTTTTTTTTTTTTTTTGTTGGCTCTGAAGCTTGCAGCACAATTAAAAGAAATGAAGCTTATTGCAGACTTTTAAAAACAATCTTACGACGAATCTTTGGACTCATCAAAAATGCAAACAGCGGTGAATGGAAAGTGAGAAGCAACAACGAAATTCATAATCTGTTTAAATCACCTTTGATCACTGGTATCATGAGAGCTAATAGACTGAAACGGCTGGGGCATATAGAAAGAATGTTAAATTACAGAGAAGTAAAAACTATATACACTAGGAAGATGAATGTTCGTAAACCACGAGGCAGACCAAGAAGACTATGGAGAGATAATGTCCGGGCAGACCTGCAAACACCTGGTATCCCCAACTGAAAAAAGAAGGCCAATCAGAGAGATGGATGGAGGCGGGTAATATCTGCAGCAACGAACCTCAAGGGCTCGGAATGCCGAAGAAGAAGAAGAAGGAGAAGAAGAAGAAGAAAGAAGAAGAAAGAAGAAGAAGAAGAAAGAAGAAGAAGAAGAAAGAAGAAGAGAAGAAGAAGAAGAAGAAGAAGAAGAATAAGAAGATCAGAAGAAGAAGAAGAAGAAGAAGAAGAAGAAGAAGAAGAAGAAGAAGAAGAAGAAGAAGAAGAAGAAGAAGAAGAAGAAGAAGAAGAAGAAGAAGAAGAAGAAGAAGAAGACGACAGAAGAAGAAGAAACAGAAGAAAGAAAGAAGAAGAAGAAGAAGAAGAAGAAGAAGACATAGAAGAAGAAGAAGAAGACGAAGAAGAAGAAGAAAGAAGCCAGAAGACAAGAAGAAGAAGAAGAAGAAGAAGAAGAAGAAGAAGAAGAAGAAGAAGAAGAAGAAGAAGAAGAAGAAGAAAGAAGAAGAAGAAGAAGAAGAAGAAGAAGAGAAGAAGAGAAGAAGAAGAAGAAAGAAGAAGAAGAAGAAGAAGGAAGACAGAAGAAGAAGAAGAAGAAGAAGAAGAAGAAGAAGAAGAAGAAGAAGAAGAAGAAGAAGAAGAAGAAGAAGAAGAAGAAGAAGAAGAAGAAGAACGAAGAATATACAACATCGTGGATATGGGACCTCCCAAACCTATCCCAGAAGGGAACATTCTAAGCAAGCAACACGATGATTAGAACAACTAGTATGGCGATATGGGAGAAGACAACATGCCGACAATGTTGACGAAGCTTGGTCAAGATCGTGATAGCAACTGAGGACCTAATAGCCGAACAAAAGCGATAACTGCTACTAAAACAGCACGAAGAACTAGTACAGCAGTAGCACCGTTAATAGCTGCAAGAGACAGTCAAATTAATGGCAGTACCACGATGGTTACTGGTGATTAACCACAAACCATCCCGAGTCCTGGCTGACACCCGTCCCTATAATTGCTTTGAGATATTTTACTATACAACATATATTCATTCCTTCCCCCTCCACCTAGCCAACGGAGCCTCAGTCTGACTTCCAGCTGACCCATGTCTGAGCCTCATCCGAGCCGCCAGGTGACCTAAATTTCTGACCTAGCCATATCAAAAAGACCATGTACCACACTTCTCAAAGCGCAGTGAGAACACAAGAAAGCATATCTGATGTTTACTATCAATACAGGGTGAAGCAGGGATGTTTGCTCTAGGAAACAGATTATAAACAGCCTATACATACCAACACTGTGCTACCAGTGCCAGATTTGAACATCATCAAAGGCTTACCTTCGTAAAATTAATGCCTGTGAAATAAGATGCATGAGAAAACCCGCTTTAACCATCCCAGACAAAGTTAGAAATGATATTATCAGACAGACTGTAGAAACAACACCGGGAAGTAAATTCATTGAGAAACAGAAGATCAGATCGTTACGTCATTTAGTAAAAAACGCAGCCAGAACAACTAAACCTTCGCTGGTGCTATATATGAATAGATCTGAAGTGAAAACAAGAGCCGCTTTATAAGAATATGGATTTGTGACATAAAAGAGCTTCTACTACACAGACACAGAATGACGAATCCTGCCCATCAAGCAATGGATCGCAAACTGGTCCTCCTCACAACGCTTAACGACAGTAGTGAAAATTGATAATGATGATGATGGCTGTAAATGTAAAACATAAAAAA